CCCCCAGTTTCTATAACAACGTAACTTTTAAGATATGCTGGTCCCTTAGTAAAATAATTTATCTTTGGTAGATAACTGATTTATTCTGTTCAGCACTTTACCACAAAGTTTGTGGTAAATTCCACCATTCCACCAGGTATTTTGTTTTAAAATCCCATGTTGAATGCCTTTTAGGTTTATTGGTGAGGCAGTGTGATGTAGTAGGCACAGATTCCCCTGGGTCTGTAAACCAGAAGTTTGTCACCTGTAAATAGGGATGATAACACCTGTCTGGAAGGTTTGTGTGCCTCGCACCTGCCTTGCTACAGAATATGAACTGAAATATCTCCTCTGTTAGGACTGTCCAGTTTCCAAGCATAGTTGAGATGATAAGTTTAATATTTAATGATCGAAGCACAGTATAGAAATGGAGAACACAATCTGATCATTTTGTATACATGGTCTCAGTAATTTTAGGGAGAAACCAGTGGTAGTAAAATTAGGTACTCAGTGCTTGATCCCTCCTTGACCTGGTCCCCTGGCAGGTTCAACAGCATGACCTCTATTTTTTTTCTTCTTAGGCTGTGGAACCCTGCTAATATTGGATCAAAATGAATCTGGGCTTAGGATTTTTAGAAGGTAAGGTGGTTCTTTATTTATTAACTAATATGTATTCTCTTTTGCTATTAAAGCCTTAATAGATTTAGTTTTTGAGCCCAGCCGGGCATGGCTCAGCGGTTGAGCATCGACCTAGGATCCCGGCTAGGGCACATGCCCGGGTTGCAGGCTAGGCAGCCGATCAATGACTCTCTCATCATTGATATTTCTATCTCTCTCTCTCCCCCTCCTTTCCTTTCTCTGAAATCAATAAAGATATATTAGAAAAAAAGAAAAGAATTAGGTTTTGAATCTTTTTTATCCACAAAGTTTTAATTTTTAAATTTGCTATATAAAAGAAACTTCAGCATTTGCATAGTATAGAATTTATTTTTGCTATTAAGTTTGATCATCATTTTCCTTCTAAAGCTCTTGTCTCTTAGTGTCCATTTAGAAATTATAAAACTTAACATATGAACTAGTTAGTATACTGCTGTGTGATATTTCTATCTTTGCTGTCTTCTTAATGTAGTTTAGCTTCACTTATGCAGGAGCTGATTACCCATTTTGTAGATTATCTTTCCTTTCTTTGCATGCATGTCTTGTCTGTAAGACTGTTGGATTTAACACCTCCTTCAGAGCAGTCAAAGGTAGAGAAAGGAAAGGAAATGCTGTCAGAAAATAACTGCCTGCTCCTAGCTCAGGTGAAAGATTTATGGGAAACGTTGAAATTATTGCTCTAAATTACTATTTTAAAGTGCTTGTTGGTCCCACCTCTGAACCACAAAAACCAGTGAGCACCCAGTTATGGCAGCATGCCCTCATGTAAATAGTGCTGTATTGCTAGTGGGGAGACCTGATTTTAATCTAGCTTTGCAGTTTTCTAGCTGTATGAACTGGCTATTTTTTGAACCTCTCTGAACTTGTTTCTGCATATAACAAGTTCCTGTTCTACTTATTTCTCATAGTCTTGAAGATCAGGTGAGCTAAATATGTGTTAAAATGTGATAAACTTAAAAAAAATATAAAGTTATTTTTGTTATTTTACTTTCAACTGCCTATATAATTAGTTTTGTTGTTGTTGTTTTAATTTTTCCTGGTATAGCTTTGACTGGAACGATGGTTTGTTTGACGTGACCTGGAGTGAGAACAATGAACATATCCTGGTCACCTGTAGTGGGGATGGCTCGCTGCAGCTCTGGGACACTGCCAAAGCCACAGGGCCACTGCAGGTCTACAAAGAACACACTCAGGAGGTAGGAAGGGAATCTTCCTGGGCTTATGGTTTTTCTTTGGATGAAACACATTTGGGGATGGAAACATGGGGAAATGTCTTCAGGGAACAAGAAGTTGAGCTTTAGTGTTTGTCTTATATGTTATGTCACTTACTATTTGATTACTCAGATATAAAATACCTCTTGGCCTAAGGAGCTGGGAAAGAAGAAAAGGTCATGCCTCTCATTAGTCAGTAAAAACGCCGCCAGTAGTAAGCACACTGTGGCACCAATTCCTCCAGAGAGGCCCATGGCTGTCCTTATGCTGTAGGAATATGCCTGCCATTCTCTGCCTCAAGATAGAGGTAGGCAGGCTTTTCACAAAGACACCACAAGATTGCCCTTAAGTCGNGAGGTAGGCAGGCTTTTCACAAAGACACCACAAGATTGCCCTTAGGTCGTCAGTAGGATTCCTGAGGATTTTCAGAGTATATTGGAGCAAGAGCATCAAACAGTGAATGTGAGGCAGAGCTTACTGAAGACATTTTAAATCTACATCTGGTTCGTGTCTAGATTGTGTGTGTGTGTATACGTATGTGTGCGTGTGTGAGTGTGTGTGTGTGGCATAAAAATAGTTTGACCTTAAGTTCTATTAAAATACATCTATATTTTTAATGAACATGATGGTAAAGACATTCTCTTTTGGTGTTTTACTTTAAATGTTTGAAATATTTTCTTGAGGTAGCAATAGATCCTTCAAATGAAAACTTGCAAATTTACTTTCAAAAATGTGTCTACCACAGGACCTAGTCCATAGAAGCCTTTAGTAAATGCTTATCAGATGCAAGAATATTAGTCTTTTGTGATAAAAGATTAGTTTTATGAGGATTCCAGATATTGTTTTATAGCTACAGCTAGTAAAATCAGTATTTTTAAGATTGTGACTAGAAATAATGGAAAATTTTAGTTCCTCTGTTTTATTGTAAAGGCTCTTTGATAAGTGTAGTTATAAATGGTCATATTTTTATAGAATCGCTGAAAATTAAGACAGCTTTGACAAAGAAGAAACTATAGTTTCAGGATGTTCAATGCAAGAATTTCTGCAGAGCAGGATGTCCAAAATTCAGACATTTTTGTGGTACCTTCATGATCTTTGCCATATTCTTATACTACTTATACTATAATTAATTTAATGTTTTTTCTTTTTTAAAAAAATGTTTTTCCTCTCAAAAGGTTTTTTTCTTTTCTTTTTATTAAATCTTTGGTGCCATGTATTGCTTATCTATATGAATTCTAGGGCTATAACTAACGACTCATAAAATATCTAGTTATGTTAAAAGGATATATCAATTTAATGTTTTTCTTTAAATGAGCTTTATGTTATTTCACTCATCTTAAAACAGTTATATTCATGAAACCATGGGATTGATGACTAACTTAGTATGTATATTTATTAATTTTTAATGTATGTTAAGATAAGCATATAATGAATAAAATAAAGTGTATGTACCAGTTAAAATAATCTCATATAACCAGTGGTGTGTGTACTACAGGGTGGGGCAAAAGTAGGTTTACAGTTGTTTGTATGGAAAATAATACAATAATTAATAAATAATACAAGAACAACTGTGCTGCTTGTATTCAGAGCCAGCACTGAATAAATATGAGCTATTATTATTTGCTCTGTAAAAGGGTTAGAAAAGCATGAAACAAGTTAGGAATCCCCCAGTTACTCATTTCACCACTCAATGACTGTCTGAAAAATGTCCAACAATCAATTTTCAGATAGTCAGATAAGTGGGTACTGAAGCAAAAGGGAGAAATCCAAGACCTCAATATAGTTTAGGCCTTGAGGAATGAAGGCCTTGGTGAAAGGAAAGAAAATCATGGACATTACTCCTTTGCATGGCTTCTAAATTTAGCATCAAAGCAGAAATCAGATTCTTCTCTATATTAACAGGTAGCTGCAGAGGCCATTATGTCTTTTGATTTCCATAAAATGCCTTTAGCTTAGACTGCTGCTGAATATATAGGAGGAGCAAAAGAATAGGAACATTTTTAAAAGGTGCAGCAAGAAGGAGAAAAGAGAAAGGATGAATTAGGAGTTTTCTTTCTCTGCTTCATGACTTACAACACTGTGCTATTGAGAGTAATTGTGTCATTAGGAAGCAGAAGTTTCAGTGTAAGAGAATGGTGACATGAGAATAAACAAGTTAAGTAGAAACATTTAATCTTAAAATGGAACAGGAAATATCCATATAGGCTCATGATTTATTTTTCTCTGTCTAAAAAAATGTATGCATTTCTTAGTTCTCTGGTCAGTAAAGACCTATGAGCAATGACAACTCAGTCCCAGAGAATATCCTTAGTGCCCACATTATGGCCTCTAAATACTGTTTTGCACTAAAAGGATCAGGGATCTTTGAAGAAATAGTCGATTCCAGGACCAGGAAGAAAACATAGAAGATGAACCTCAGACATCATCTTGTGTCAGATAGCTATGAAAGGCCATGGGGATCCTGTCAAAAGCTTAGGAGAGACAACCTGAAGAGACTCTCATTGGCCAATGAAGGGACAATTTGAACATCAAAAGGAATGACAGCAATGGATTGAAATATTCTACACACACAGACACAGTTATATGTATATTTTCACTCATAAAAAACCCCAGCTTGTCACCGTTGAAGATTACTATGATAACTGACTCATTCTGAATATTGATAAATCAAGGCATTTATCCTGCCTTTCTTGTATGAATTTTATTGAGGGGTAATTAAACAGCTGATGTGGAAAATTTCTTATTACAGAATCCTAGCTAATAAATGCAGAAGGAATAACAGAATTAGAAAAGTCATCATTAAATAGCCCTAATGAAATAATGACTCTAGGCAAGGGTTATGCATAGATGTTAAAACCATTTATTTAAGACTGATACATCTTCTGAACAATTTTAGGATCACTGAAAGTGGGTCAACCAGAAATTATACACCTTCTAATACAATGGGAAGCTAAAACAAGATTGATTGAACTAACTTTAATCAAGCCTCTATTATCTAACTTCAATTGAAAGGAAATAGGAAGGGTAGAAGAAAAGTTAAACACTGTTATGAGGAAACAATTAGCCAAGTCCAGAATGGAGAAGATTCCACAGGACCATTAACTTTGTTTCTTTAAGAAACAAATGTCATGGGAAGAGGAGGGGGCCAGGAAAAGCAAGGTGGAGAAGAGGACTTTCCTAGATTAGAAGAGACTTCAGAGACATAGCACCTAAGTGTAAAATATGGATTTTGTTTGGATCCTGATTCAAATTAACTATAAAAAGACATTTTTGAGACAATTGGGAAATACGAATATGGATGATATTAGATGATATTAAGGAACTTTCGTTAATCTTGTTAGGTGTGAAAATGGCCTTGTGCTTATGTAAAAAAGAAAACTGTCCTTATCTACTGAAATATTTATGAGTGAAATTGTCTGATGTTAAAATACTCCAGCAATCAGTCACTAATGGGATAAAACAAGATAGGTGAAATGTTGATAATTATAGAAGGTGTATGGTGGATACTTATTATGCTCTTTTCTTTACTTTTATGCACATTAAAAATTTTGTCATTAAAAAATTAAAATCATTTCTTGTTAAAAGAAGTATGTAGCCCTTTCTAATCGCTCAGTAATTAAAAGTCAGTGTTCCTTTCCTTTGTATTGATACAGATGAGTATGAACATTCCAGACACAATTTTTCTTTGATGATTTTTAATTAAATAGACCAACTTAAAAAAGGGCAATACTGCACAGTAGATTAAAAATGAGCTCTTTGGGAATTAGTTTCAGTAATAAAATTTGTCCTCTCAAACTGTGGTTTGGATGAGGTTTAGATTTCATAAAGCAGCACAAAATATTGTTCATTGGGTTTTTTTGGTTTTGCGTTTTTTAAATTAATTTTCTTCACTGCTGCCAAGAGTACTGTCATAAGATAGGCGTTTGGAGGACCCTGCTTTTAAAGCATAACTGCATATTTCTTTTTTATACTTAATCTGACCGTTTGCCATGTCCACTGTATGAGTGGTAGAGGAGGGGGAGTTAGGAATAGGGAAAAGATGGAAGAGTGGGAGATGTGCTTTCCGCTTAGATTTGTTTCTCTGCCCTTTTGTTCATTCCAAAAACTTGGATGAGCTCTGCTCTCTGCAAAGGACTGTAACTAGTCCTGGGGGGAAGATGAACAAGCCAGGCAGGGTCCTTGCCCTTCTGGAGCCCTTGCCCCCTCTAGGGAGAAAGGCTTTAAGCTGCAGGTTATCTAATTTGTAATGTGGTCAGTACTGTGAATGTACAGAGTGGTACTGGAGGAGAGGATCTTGCCTGGGGAAGGGACCCGGAGGGCATCCTTGAGTCTGACGGGAGAGTAGGAACAGCCTGCTCAGGTGGAGAGGTCACAGGAGTTGGTTAGCAGCAATGGAAAGTGCATGCTCCAAGGGGAAGGACTGAGCCTGTGTGCCCAGAGCGGTGAGCATTTTGGCTCTTATGCTAAGATCAGTGGAAAGACATTGAAGGTTTAAAATAATTAACTGTGAAATATTTGATACATATAAAAATACATAAAGTGTAAAAAAATGTCTAATGAACACTTGTGTATTCATCATCTAGCCGAAGAAATAACACCTTATGGATACCGTGGAGCCCCTGGTGACTGATTTTGTCCTTCTATCTCCTTTTTTCTGATCGTCTTCTTTTTTTTTTTTTAAATATATCTTTATTGATTCCAGAGAGAGGAAATGAGAGGGAGAGAGAGAGATAGAAACATCAATGATGAGAGAGTCATTGATCGGCTGCAGCCGGCAACCCGGGCATGTGCCCTGACCGGGAATTGAACCCTGTTCGCCTGGATCCTAGGTTGACGCTTAACCGCTGAGCCACGCCTGGCCGGGCCTGATCTTATTCTTTTCCCTCCTTTTTTCCTTCCTCCCTTCTTCCCAGGAGCAGCATCTATCCTGAATTTTCTGTTTATATAGTTGTCATTTTTCCTTTTAGTTTCACTACATATGTTGCATCCCTGAGTCCTGCATAGTTTTGCATAATTTTGATTTTTTGGTGGTAAGCAACAGCATGGATGAATCTCAGTGTTGAGTGAGGATTATAAATTGCAGCAACTATATAGTATGAAGTGACTGAAGTGATTTCTGCAGGGGGGCAACATTAATTTGTGTCTTATAAAGGTTATTTTTTATGCAATGTAGATAATGGATTGGATGTGAGCACGAATGGATGGGGAGAGCAGTTAGAAGGATGCAGTAATCTAGCTGGTAGTTTATGGTTGATGGTTGTTGCCTAATTAAGAGAGATTATGTACAAACTCATAACCGTGGCCCTTTGAGATCTTGCCCCTCCTAACTATTTGACCTTGCTGTTCCTCAAACATGACACACTTGTTTCCTGCTTCAGGGTCTTCCCCTATTCTACTGAAAGGCTTTCTTCTCAAATCTGCAGCATTCTCTTTTTTACTGCGCAGAGTTCTTTGCTTAGAGAGGTCTTCCCTGGTCACTATTGAGAAGTGACCTCTTGCCCTTGTTATTGCTTTCTAGTTTCCCTACCTTGCTTTATTTTGCTTTGTAATTTAAAAAAATCACAACATGAAAGTATATATATATTTATTTACAGCCTGTTTCCCCCTGCTAAAATATAACATCCACGAGGGCTGGAACTTCATCTGTCTTGTCTTACACTGTACCCCCCTACCCCTCAATTCATGCCTTGTATATAGTAGATGCTTGATAAATATTTGTTGAATAGGTGAGTGAATTGACTTAAGATTGGGATAATGGAGTCCAGACATCCCTTTTTGACTGTCTCCCAAGTATCCTTATGGCTATAAACTTTTTCCAGAGTTTGAGGTTAATACAAAAACCCAGTTCTAACTAGACATTTCCACTTGACTATCTTGCTGTCACCTCAAATTTAGTGTGTCTAAAATTATACCTTATCTTCCTTCCTCCAGTCTTCCAGTTTGTTAATGCCACCATCACTGACAGTCCTCAGACACAAAACCTTGGTGTTATCTTGCGGCATTCACTAACCCTAATCTCTTGGTGCTTTCTGTGCCCACATATGTCTTTGGGGGAGTTTCTGGTTAGTGTTTGCAACTCTTTTTCCTGCTATTAACGTTGTAGCCAGCCCTCAAGGCCCTGCTTTTGAATCCTTTTCTTTTGGCCATCAAGCTGAAGTTTCCATCCCAGCACCCCTTTTGTACTATGTCTACAGTGTTTTTTAAAACACAATATCCTGACTTGTACTGTTACTTCCTNTCCTTTTCTTTTGGCCATCAAGCTGAAGTTTCCATCCCAGCACCCCTTTTATACTATGTCTACAGTGTTGTTTTTTAAAACACAATATCCTGACTTGTACTGTTACTTCCTCATGTCCTAATATTTTAAACACAGTGAAGCAAACTATTGATTGACTGAGTCACCTTTATTTCCTTCTTTATTATTCCATTTTTAACCTCATCATGTGTGTCCTATCCTCGTTTTGTCCTAGAACCATAATAGTTGCCATGGTGTTGTGTGTCAGATAAGACAGCAGGCAGGACACTGCCATGAGCATAGTTTTTTTTACCTCCTGTCTTTTGTTCTCATTAGGGCTGGGTTCTCTCTGAGCCTGTGGAGGCTCTTGCAGTTTTAAAAGGTGAGATGTCATAAGGTTTCAAGTCCTGCATCATGCTGGAAATGGATAGAGGCAGTGGAGTGTGAGCTCATAATGTTAGTTTTAGTTGTATTCAGTTATCTTTTAAAATGAAAATCATAGCTCTTTATAACTACTTAGCAGAGTTACAGGTTATGAAGATAAATTTTGTTGGTTTAATTATCTTAATTCACATTTATTGAGTTATGTTTCAATGAGCATAGATGTACAAGATGTACATCTTATGATTTTGCCTAGAGAGGTCTTCTAAAATCTAGCAGGTATGGCAGTTATTTAACATGAATTTTAGTAAAAGATAGTAAATGCTGAATCAGAAGTAAGTACAAGATGCTGTTGGAATGCACAGGAGGAAGAATCTAAGTCACTGAGGAATCTGCCAGCGGAGGCTTATTTCATAAAGGACATAATAGGGCCAAAACTTGACATTTGAGCAGGAGTTCACCAGGTAGACAGGGACTTTAAGTTCTTGAATATGTATAATTCATAAAAATAAAATGAAATAAGACTGGGCCCAAATGTAGCTCCAATGAAAGGTGATATCAATAAGGGCAGCAAGAAGTTCCAGTTCAACAGTGCCCTGGAGCAGCTTGCTGTAGAGACAGCCTAGCAAAGTCATTAAGTGTGGACTCTGCAATTAGGCCACCCAGGTTCAGATTTCAGCTCCATCTTTGGGAATTGAACCTCCTTGGGCCTCGGCATAGTATCTACTTCATAAAAGTGAAGGTTAAATGAAATAAAATACACAGTGTTTATGGAAATATCTTGCACGCAGTAGTGCTCAATAAAGATTTGCTTTTGTGGTTATTTTTGCCTTTTCACATCAGCCCAGAGCACACGAGTTGACAAACTACTATGCCTGGGCCAAGGCCAAACCCAGCCCACTGTCTGATTTGAAATAAAGTTTTACTGGAACACAGCCATGCCCGCTCATTAAATATTGTCTGTGGCTACTTTTGTGAGTTTAGTAGTTGTGACAGAGATCAAATGGTCTAGAAAGCCTAAAATATTTATTTTGCCCTTGACAGAAGAAATTTGCTGAGCCCTGGACTAGAATATAAAATCAAATTCTTCAGCTCTCAAAATCATTAGTGGTTGCTTCCAAACCTGTCTTTTCTACCCATAACTAACAGATGTCTATAGCAGTCTTTGGTTTCTGCTGCCCCTTCTGCATACTTTATGAGCTGCTCTTTGTTACTACATTATGGTTTCTTTAGTGTCCACCTGCTCTTTTCTCTTTCACATGGGTATGGGCAACAGCAGGTCCAGGACTAGGGCAAGCTGGGTGAGGCACTCGCCTTCAGTCCATAANGGTCCAGGACTAGGGCAAGCTGGGTGAGGCACTCGCCTTTAGTCCATAATTTAAGGGAGCCCCCCAAAAACTTAGTAGTCAAAATAAATAATCTCTTAGTGCAATCATTTAAAAAAATAAAAATTAAGGCAAAAATCTATGATTAACAAAATATCAGTTTTAAATAAGGACAAAATCAGTATTACTGATTTTTTTACTCAGACTCCAACATGGCTCAGCTTAGCTCTAGGCAGCTGAGAACAGGTAACCCATACTTAAACCACTACAAACCCCAGACACTCTTACTTCTTACATAAATATGGTAGAGATTTTAGACTCAAAGTAACCTGCTGATCCATTTTAATGACATATACTCAGACCCATGTCAGGACTACTTTCATAAATTATAATTTATGCACATATTTTGTTGAACTTAGCTTGTAGTAGTGATCTCTATATAATATGTTGTATAAAATGACAGAATGAAAAATATTCCGTAAGTTTCCAAATAGTTTATTTGAGATGGTCCACTGAGAGCAGTGAAGCATAGATTAGAATGGCAGCATTGGATAACTAAGGCTGTTTACCAAGAGATCTGAAAGGATCACCTGGTTTCTATAAGCTTTTTCTAAGAAAGGCTAGATAGTGATAGGAATTGAATTTTAATGCTTTCTGATAAACATTGACTTGGCAAGCTTTTTTAGATGACTTTCTAATCTGCTTTGACATTTCTTCTTCAGGGTGCAGCAAACAGTGATTTGTTGGTAGGTTTAAAAATATGTATACTTTGTTTTAGTGGAGAAGATTTGGAAGTATTCTGTAGAATTCTATTCAAGTAGAATATGTAAGGAATCAGTCTGGAGGAGTGGACAAGGTAACTTTTCATTTCCCAGACACCATGTTAAGATTTGTAGGACTTGATGTTTCAATGAAGTAAATTAGTTGTTTTAACTAGCTATCACTGTTATAAAGAGATAAAATATAATATTGAACTTGATGCTCTTTTGCCTCCTAAATGACATTTTAAAATGTTTTTAGGTATATAGTGTTGATTGGAGCCAAACCAGAGGTGAACAGCTTGTGGTGTCTGGTTCATGGGATCAAACCATCAAACTGGTATGTTGACTTTACTGTATTTAAAAACAAATATTCCCTTCCCAAAAGCTACCACTGATTTTTTTCTCTCCTAGAACATTCTTCTGTAGCTTTTTATTAGGTAGCTAATTTTATTTTCAAAAAATATTTTAAAGCATTTATTAGAATTTAAAATTTTCTAATCTTTTGGCTGTAAACTAACAATTAGCTCAGCATTGGTTATTTTGGACCCTTAAATACCATCTTGCTTTATGTAAAAATAGGCTTTAAAAAAGGCCTTGAGACATGTATGTATATCCTGTGTATATAAAAATACATATATATTTTATATATTGTATATGTAAAAGCATACATTTGAATTGACACCTGTTAAGTGATTGATCTATTCATTTATTTGTAGTGGGATCCAACTGTTGGAAAGTCGTTGTGCACCTTTAGAGGCCATGAAAGTGTCATTTACAGCACAATCTGGTCTCCCCACATCCCTGGTTGCTTTGCTTCAGCCTCAGGTAAATCCATATTTACGTCTTCCTTGTAGTGAATGGTAGTCTCACTTTAACCAGTAGGTGGTGCTGTGTACCTTAGAGTCTGAGAAAAAACACACCAAAAAACCCCAATTCTTTTTGCTCTTTAGACTGTTTTATTCTTTACCAACCTCTAGATATTCTTTACCAACCTGGATTACTTTTTAATGATTCTGACCATTTGACTTATATGTTCCGTTTTTGGTGAGGTAAGAGGTGTGGGACAAAGCAAGTGAGGGCTTGGGCATCAGTCTCTCCTTGATGTTTACCCTCCTTTTAGGGATATTCTTTATAATTCATTGCTAGTAAGCTAAAGCAAAGATGGTTTTGGTATGATTTTTTTTCTGACTGTTTTCTTTTGATTTATATCAGCAATTCTAAGGTAAAGTAGATACTTATATTTATGTCTGTATTTTTTTTAATAGAGAAAGGTCATTTTATCAAGTTTAATAATTATGCTTTGTCCTATTTGCGTAAAGATTTACAAATTTATTTTGTGGGCCAATTCATAAATCATAAACCTGAACAGTCTAACTTATAAATAAGTTATAGAGACGCACTGCCCAGCCTCTCTGTGGTGCCATTTAAAGCAGCACAGTCCGCCTGCCCAGTGGTCGTTTCAGTAACTGTCCCTGTCTTCCCTCGTTTCTGCTCTGGAGGTCCTTTCCCCTGGCACGTGCCTCATTCTTCCCATACGCCTTCCACTCTGCCCTCACAGCTCTTGTTCTTTCATCTTTTACCTTTTCTTCCCACCAGTCTAGCCTGTCTCTCTTCTGCTGTCCTGATTTTACATGGACAATTTCTGTGACAGAGTCCTCCCAGAGGGTGACAGGAGAAGAAACTGAGACAGCAAGAGCAATGCTCCCTTCTGCCCACGAGTCAGATGAGAGAATGTTCTCCACAGTGAGCAGGCAGTGCATTGAAAGGCTTTTGGAGTTAGAGTTCATGTGGTTAGGAATATGGAATATCAGTTCTTAGTGATATTGTAATATCTGCTACACCATGACTTTTCNTGGTTAGGAATATGGAATATCAGTTCTTAGTGATATTGTAATATCTGCTATACCATGACTTTTCATANTTAGTGATATTGTAATATCTGCTACACCATGACTTTTCATGTGAATTAGACAGAACACAACTATTAATGAACAAATATAGTTTGTCTTAGGCAGATTACAACTGGTTATAAATCTTTCAAAATTGGGAACCAGTATAGCTGTTTTTACTAGCCCCTGAGCTGCTTTGCTTAAATGGTTTTATCTTTGATTTGTTTATTAGAACAAAGGTTGCTAAGTCGGAGTGACAGCTATAAGAATGTGTAATGTGTGCTAATTAATCATAAATATTTGTGGTGATTGACAAAGTAAGATCATCACTTTTTATTTTTTACTTGTATAACTTTCAAAAATAAATTTATAAAGCAAAAACAAAAATAGTATTCCAGATAATTCCTATTCTAACCATGTACCTATAGTAAGGAAATTCAAACAACACAGAAGCATGCCAAATAAAAACTAAAAGCCCCTCTCCCCTATTTAACCATTGTTAACATTTTCTTGTATTTTTCTATAAAAATTCTTTGGCTCATCCCAGAATATATGGTACAAAAAATTTTTAACATTTATAGGGAATATTCTTGAGGAAAAACTCAGATACTTATAAAGGCTAATTTGTTTAGTGACGTTAGGTTTTATATGCTTATAGCTATAAAACCTTCGTTGTTGAAATTTTATAGGAAAATAACTTTGTAACTATGAGTCAGGAATTCTCCTGTCCCAAATTCCCAAATTCTTTTTCCCCATTGAAAACATTCTATAAAACAGTTTTTGATTGTGGAGATTTCTTAGAAACCTTAATCCAGTATTATAGCTGTATTGAGCAAATCATACCATCATTCAGAAAGAGTTTTTAGACTATAGTTTTGAATAAACTTGATGGAAAAGAATATCCATCAATTATGTACTAAAAATTATATCTACATTTACATTATATATTTAAATTTATTAAATTAAAAAAATTTTGAAATAGAAAAAGAGGTACAATAAGGCTTCTGGGATGGGACGAAAATATATTTTTTCTTGTCACATTTCCTTTTCCAAGCCTAAATTTCTTCTATCTTTTGTTTTTCTGTTGTGCAGCTAGCCATAAGGCCAGGTGTGTATTAAATAAATGATAGCAATACTGATACATTTAATTTGAATTAACTCTTGAGTTGATCATCTTTTATACTTTAATTTACTGTAAATTCTAATGATTTCATGTTTATAGTGAATCACATCTGTAAGATGACCACAGTTCAGTGTAATGGTCATATGTAATTTTATAATTTTACTATTAGTGAAGGGCCCTAACACAGAGATTAGTAGTACAGTTAAATTAAGATTCTTATGAAGATGTGAATCAGATTGACATTAGCATCATTTTCTTCAAGTAGGCATGCATGCCTTTGGCCTTATATCCTACAGTTTCAAAGGAGACATTTTAGACCCTGGATGGAATTAGTGGAATAGATAGATCCGCCTTCAGTGAACTGAAACATGCTTCTCTTCTAGTGAAACAGTGAAGACATGTCTGCTGGGAGCTCTGATTGGCATAATTCATAATAAACTAGAATTAATAATGAGTATAATTTTACATATTTGGAAAAGTATAAGTAAAGCTCCCTGAACTACTGATAGATTTTTAAAAAGTTTCTTTACCTTACTATTGTATATAATATTGTTAATTTATATTATTTAAGTTCTAAAATTGTATTCCTTTGATTTTAACCATCGTTCTTCTTATACCCATGACCAAATACAAAATTTGACGGTGATAAAATCATGAACTAATACAGCTGCATCTATTTAAATGTCAGCCAGAGTTGTGTATATTAGCCCTTTATTTGGACTGAGTCACACACACTGATTCTTTCATTGGCCTTTTGTTATAGTGTGGTATACGTAATATTGGCTCTGGATGTTACATGTAGAGTGTTCTGTGTGAGACTGAATAAGAGAAAAAGATTAGTTGTGTGTAGAGAGTTAACTGTATAATCATAAAATTTAACATTTAAAACTGTATGTTGTAAATAGGCAGTGTATAAAAACAATCTTTTATCAACAGAGTGATCATTTGTTTTAATAGAATAAAAGACCATCTGTTTAATGACATTATTTTCATGTGTTATATTAGAAATGAATATAAATAGTGGTCATATCAACCAGGACTTGTTTAGTTGAACTTGAAAAAAATTCTGACCCAAACTGCTTTAAGGAAGAAGATAATTTATTTGATCATATAGTTTAAAAGTCCAGAATTAAAACTGGCTTTATAGAGACATGGCTGGATATTGAGTTGGTTGTAGTATCAGGTGCCACGTGATAGCAAGATGGCAGTAGCTTTAACCCCCACATCCTTTCTGGCTTCTGTGTGGTAGGAAAAAGTGAGAGGTTCTCAGACATCTAGGAAAGTTTCATTTTCTCTCATTGACTCTGAAGAGTCTCTGTGGATGTTCCTAAACTAATCACTGTGCCTGGAGAGGGGTGTGTTATGTGTTGGTTGGCTTTGGCCAGGCTTAGCTCCTGCAGTTGGGAATGAGAAATGGAAGAGAGTGGTCTCCAAACTACATACACTGAGAATAGAAAGAGTGAATCCTGATTAGGTGGAAGTAGATGGATCCATTCTAGGGGGCCAATAGTCACTAAAATGGCTGCTCATTCAAGGCTTAACATAAATCTGAGGGGATTTGATAAAAATCAAGCACTGCACCTGTGTGCTATGAAATATGTTCCTTTAAAAAACCACTCCAAGAATTTAGTTACCTTCAAAGTTGTATGGTATTTGCAAATCTAGAACCAAATGTATCATTAGCTAAGACAGGCCAAAAAGGGGGAGTTGTTAGAGATTTAGATCTCGATTTATGTTCCATAGCAGAGTTCTCTAAGGACATTGCATTTTGTCTAGTTCATGGTAGTCATGTTTGTACAAAATTCATATTTCTAAATTATATGAGCTAGAAGGGAAGAATTTTTGAGGTCTTTATAGAAAGAGGATTAACGTGAAGTAAACTTTCTTGTGAACCATGAAAACTAAGTTACTACTTTTACAGACCCCATATAATTTCATAAATGATAGCCATGTGTGAATATGTTGGGTCCAGTAGTTAAGAAAACCTCATCTACTCTAAGAAAAAGTCATATGACATCTGATAGGCATCTGGTATTTCAATTCAATTAAATTATTTGGGCCCAGTATGCATCCTTTTGCTACTCAGTTCACTTCACCGTTTCAGATTCAACGTTTACACTCATTCTTTTTACCCGACTTCCTCTTACCTGCTGCAATTTGAAATTTAGACACAGTAGCAGCCAGCACCTCGTGTTCCGCAGTGTGCATTTAAATTCATTGCTTCTGCAAGTCTGCAACTGATAAGAGAAGCTGGTAATTCAGGTGGGTCTGCGGCACCATCACAGGGCCCTGATGAACGTCTGGCTGACAATGAAAGGCCATTTGTCTGGAAAATATGATTCCAAAAACAGCAAATACAAATGTCCTGGTGGCTCAAAGAGTTGAGTGAGTCATTGTGCCATTCGGCCCGAAAGTCCCTCTCTCCTGCCTGGAAATCAGAGTGGTGAGTATGAAGTGCCGAATGTGTGCGGCAGGAGCGACTGTCAAGGAAGTGGAGTTCTTAGCTCCTACAGAGCAGTTCTCACCTTTTTGTGCCCTTTAAACTAACTGTAAGAGGGGACAAGCTATGGCCCATTTTTAAAAAATGTTGCTTGAATATGATAGTGAGGAACCAAAATATTGTCCCAAAGAACTTTAGAATAACCAACCTTTGTTGGTTTCTTTGGTCTTTTATTAGAGTATAATAGCCATACAGAACAGTGCATAATCTTAAGTGTGCAAAGCAATGCATTTTCACAGTGAACACATCTGTGTTCCAGCAACCAGATCAAGAAACAGAATGTTTCCAGAGGCCCTCCTCACATCCTCCAGTCATTACTGCCCCCACGCCCCAGGGTGACCACTGTGCTGCCTTCTAATAGCAGAGATTAATGTTGCCTGTTTTTATACTTTTGTGTCCGGTTTCTTTTGCTCAACATAATTTGTGGGATTCATCCATATTGTTGCTAGAATAACAGTTACTTCTTAATCTCCTAGTCAACAGTCATTGTTGTGTTTTGGCACTTTAAATCATCCACATCCCATAGAATGTAATTTTAGGGTGAACACAAGCTCACTGAACTTTAAACGATGCTTTAATCATAGCTATAGCAGACTTTATAGTTTCAGCCTTAATATTAAATATAAATTTTTGAAAGCTGGTGTGCACCATTTAGGTGCTTTCTCTGTTTGAGTGGAAGCCTCATGCTGAATCACATGTTTTTGTCTGGGGCTGGGCTTTGTAGAGACTGAAGCTCCAAGTGAACTTTATCACTCCGTTCAAGATGATCGGGGATCTCCTTTGCCTACAGGCAACAGAACTTGAAATATTTTAGGTCTTTGTAGAACTTATTGAAAGGCAACTCCAGAAGGGGAAGGGATGCTTGAATGTCCTGAGGACACATTTTCTGTTTCTAACTTGGACTTTTCTCTGCTTATTGGCTTGACTCTGCAGGCTGGCTTTACACTTAGGTGTGGCCACCAGCGGCTCCTCAGTTTTATAACTTGTAAATTTTATCATTAGACAGGAACTGACATTATTTTTCTGTTATAGTTCAGAAAAATTTCAGGTACCTATCTTTCATCTGTCAACTGTGGTCAGGGCAGAGAATAAGATATTATGACTAGCCTTGCTTGAACCTGTCTGGTCAACTTATTTATTAATTATCGTTGAATTATTTTCCATACGAACAACTAAAATTTCAGACCAACATCTGGCACATAGTAAGCACTCAATAAATACTAGCTTGTTATTCATGTTATTATTAATAGGGGTAGTAATGGCTTCTAATCATGGGTTTGTTTTCTTATTTTATATTTTAAAACCTTATCTTATTTCAGCTTTATAAGGAAGATATTTTATCATAGTAACTAAAAGGAGAATCAGGGAAGTTAAGTAACTTGATTAAACATCAACAGCCACCATATGATTGAACTAGATTAGAACCAAGCTTTGGGACTCCAAAGTCCCCATTCTTAACCTCTACATTTCATCACCATAAACAATTTAATTCTTATCTTTCTTAAGCAACATCCAAGGAAATCAGAAAAAAAATTGTCTAAAATAGCTAAATTTAGCTAAATGACCTCATTTAGAATTTGAAATATAGGGAATTATATGTAGTTAAGTAAAGAATAACTTAAAATGTAGCACTTTTATATACCATATATTAAAATATCTACTTTGTGCTAGCAGCCATGCTAGGTGCTTCGCAGAAATTTTATTACACTAATTTCTTGTACAACCATGCAAGTAGGCATTCTGTTTCTTTTTTAGCAAAGAGGAATCATTCTGAAGATATTATATAACTTGCACAGAGTCATACAACCACTAATGGAATTCAAGACCATGACTGTCACCACGCCATAGATCACATTCTTATCAACAAGATGAACTAGCTTTTTCCCATGATCAGTTATTGTTTGTAACTTACTTTTGATGTAGCTATATATATTTATTTATTCTGGGTTTTATTCATCTGGTCATTTTGTTGTTTTCTCATAGTTTACAAAAATTCAAGGTAAATAGCATATAAAACATTTAATCAGGGGTGACTTTGTGCAGGAAAGCAATGTAAACCATTTTTGTAATAATACAAAGTATAATTCTTAAATTTTTTCAACTTGCTTTTTTTCCAAGGAGAAAAATTCCCTGTGGCTGGCTGATTAAAATGTGGTAAACATAAAAGCTAGATTTAAAAATTCTCCGTTTTGGCTTATTAGACTTGGCTTACATTTATTAGTAAAATTGTTACTGTTTTGGTTCTTGTAGAATATACTGGTACAGGGGGCTAACTTTATTTATTAGAAGTGAGGATTTTGGGGGCCTTTTCTTGAAGAGAAATGCACAGATGTGTGTTTAGTCAGCACTGTACTTTTCTCAATGTGAGATTCAGATTTTCCCAATTTGAATAGATCTGAAAAACATTGTCATGGTGCATTACTTGTTGTAGTTCATCACTTTTCGTATGCATTGTTACAGTTAAGAACAGTTAGTATGTATATGTGATATACAGATGGCAGTACTCTTTCAGTGAAAGCAGTGTGTTTCCCATGATTTATCATCATGAGCACATGTCACTGAGCATCCAGGTGGTGTGATGGGAAGTGATCGAGTCTTTCTCTTTCAACAGGTGATCAGACTCTGAGAATTTGGGACGTGAAGGCAGCAGGAGTCAGAACTGTGGTGCCAGCACATCAGGCAGAAATTTTGAGTTGTGACTGGTGTAAATACAATGAGGTATACAGTCTGGCTCTGTTCTGATCTGTGGAGCCCTTCCTAATGTTGAAATGTTCTGGATTTTATTTTGTCTTTGTTTATGCGGACTTTGGTAGTGTTCATGGACCATTAAGTTAAATTCAGTCCCTTTCATTTCTAATTGATGATTGTGAGTGACCTGCATTAGCATTAATTGGATTTAAGTGCACATAAAACAGGAAGAATAAGAAACAGAAATTCTCAAAGTTCAACAGTGCAAGCCTTACTTGTTTGTTTGGGAAACTGCTTTACAATTTATGTGATTTTTTTTCTTTATTGCTCTTAATCCTGCCAATTTGTGTTATCTTTTGCTTTCCATTCATGTTCACTTTGCTAATCAGACTGCTGAGCTGTTTGTAGATTGATTTTTAATTTAACGATCCATCAGTTTTTAATATTTTCTGTTTTATCTTCCCTTATAAGCCTAACCAGACTTCATGCTCTGTAAGATAGCAGTGTCTATTTGTAACTTTTTGCATCTCTTCAGTTAACCACAGAAACATATGAATTAGAAATAGCAGTGGATCAAATATGTTGATTGATATACTGTGTGTGTGTGTATATCTCTATCTATCTATCTATCTATCTATCTATCTATCTATCTATCTATCTATGTACCTCAAGCGGTCTCTTGACTGTGACATATGCCTTATTTTTTCTCAATTTATTTATTTATTTATTTTTAAATATATCTTTATTGATTTCAGAGAGAGGAAAGGAGAGGGAGAGAGAGAGAGATAGAAACATCAATGATGAGAGAGTCATTGATTGAGCCCTCAACCCGGGCATGTGCCCTGACTGGGAATCGAACCTCCATCCCCTGGATCCTAGGTCGACGCTCAACCACTGAGCCACGCCTGGCCGGGCTCTCCAGTTTTAAATTAATGAATAAAAAAGGGAACATTATATTGGCAGTTTTTTAAATAAAAAGAAATAGAATATATTCAAAGAAAATATAGTACTTGTTCAGTAGTAATACTTGATCAAAATAAAAATTTCAATGCTGATAACTACAGTCAAATCTCATCGTAATACATTTTTCATATAAGAAAATGAAATTGTGGACTATATATTTAGGAATTCTAAAAAAGATGCCAATATACACTTGAGAATGGTTTAAAATTTTTTAAAAAATCATTAAAACTTATCTTTAAATGAGCTTATACTGAAGCCCAACACATTCAAACAGTGAATTATTGCTCTGGTTGATGTGGTATGGGGCTGAATGTGAACCCAACACTTGGCCTATTCAGCCAGGAACTCTGGAGGAACTTGGGTCTATAGAAAGCAGAAGTTGTAAAACCCACTAGATAAGGAGATTTACCATTATGTGCATAGATTTTCAGATATGATTAGCTATCACATTAAGACATGGCCTATGGGAATTGGGAACGGTGATTTAGATTTGGGAAAATATATAAAAATTTAATTTATACCCTTTGCTCTTTTAAATATTCGTAAATTAACAGGCTTTTTGCCTTTCGATGCCTGGTAAATCTGCAGGGCATGCTGAAGAGAAATGTTGACTCTGTCAGATATAATTTTTAATGCATTATGCACTTATTAATATTACTAAAGGTGGATTGGAAAATCCACAGTGCTTTTTGGGACTCTGCCTTTTTCCGTTGTGTGTAGTGTTCCATCACATACATAAAACATATGGAGTTCCTTTTCTCTCAAGTCATACAATTTTTGCTTTTCTGATGTATATTTTGATTTCTTTCTAAGACTTGTCATATAACTTCTTAAGAATGACTCCTAAGTTCTGATTAAATAATGATCAGAAAATAGATATTGTTTCTAGTAGGAAAGCCTGGACACTACTTAATTAAAAGATGTCACAGTTTACTTTTCTCTGCATTGCTTTCAGAATTTGTTGGTGACGGGGGCAGTTGATTGTAGTTTGAGAGGCTGGGACTTGAGGAATGTTCGACAACCAGTGTTTGAACTCCTTGGTCACACCTATGCTATCAGGAGAGTGAAAGTAAGTTTTTATCTTTTCTTTTTATACAGAGAATAAAATATAAATATAATCAGTGAAGTATATATAAAAGGTGCTTATGGGTTGGGGTTATTGATTCTTTTTTATGCATGTTTTTATTACCCAACTAATGATAGTGAACATTGAAAACTAAAATTAGGTAAAATTTTTGAATAATTATTGAATGAATTGGGTCAATGTAGCCAATTCGTACTTAGAGTTAAATAATTTTTTTTTATTCTGTCATCCCCAATCTACTATTCCTTTAAAAAATTTTAACTATAGTAATTACTTTTAGTATTATATTCTTTATAATTTTTCATCCAGTGGGAAGGTCTGTTTACTTTGTTGAAACTCATACAGGGAAATGGTTAATTCTTTCTTTTCCCTAACATGATAATGTATGAATGAATGTTCACAAACATTTGGGATATAGAAAATTTTCCACTCTGTAAACAGCAGAGGATGAGATAACTTTTTTTCTGCTGCTCCTAAGAAATTTGCCTGCTTATAAGAGCTGTAATTTAGTTTTCCAGCTTTTATTTAGGTACGTTTTGCTAAGTCACTGTGGATATTAAGTCACATCTTTGAATTTCATTCTTTGTCTTTTACATTAAGGGTAAAAAGTACCTGATTGATCTTTTCAATAAGATAATTATGTTATTCCTATTTCAAAATTTAAAATTTCAATTAAATTAATATTTTAAATTTTATTGGCTGCTACTTAACATATGAGACACAGTGCCCTGGTTTTTTTTTGTTTTGTTTTGTTTCTAATGGCACACAGGTTTTAGTAGTTGAAGATATTTTCTATTTTTGTTTATAGTGCTTCTGAGAATGAAATAGGGTAATGTAGGGAAAGTATTTTACAAACTAGAAAGTTTGCAAATGTAGTTATTATGTATCTATAACTATTAACATACTGGTAAGAAATACACTAAAGAAATGTCATTGCAGAGGGCAGCTTATGAAAGTATGATAGTTATTACTTATCTAAAAGATACTGTCTTTAAATTTTCAGATTTGTCCTTCATATCATTTCTCATTAGCTGTGATATATTAAAGATATTTTACTTAACATTTAAATGTTTATTCCATACGTGTGTTTATAGCAATCATAATATGTATTCATAAAATTGTTAAGATATAATAAATTTATATTTGTAACTGTCACATACTTAAATCCCCTGTATTTCTAGGAGTCATTTTTAGATAGGGAACATGAAATTGTATTTAATTTTTCCAAAATAGCCACACTTTGGGAATGTTTTATTCTAAATAAGCTCTAGAAAGCTTGAGTGATGACTTTCTTTGGGCAATGTAAAAAATAAATGTTTTTCCTGTAGATGATACATAAAAGGCCAAAGTATTTTCGCCTTGAATTAAATCATATAAGGTTCAGGAAAGCATAATTTTTAGTGACAGTCCTGGCTAGACTTTAATTTATTAAGCATGTTATAATTACAGCTAACTTCAAAATATTTTTTTGTTTTGTTTTGTAGTTTTCACCATTTCATGCTTCCGTACTAGCCTCTTGCTCCTATGACTTTACTGTAAGGTACAGTAGTTTTTTATCAAGTTTTGTTGTGAAATACCAAGTAGCATTTGCATCTTTACAATTTTTAGGAAGATAATGTATTTATCTTACTAATATGAAAAAATGTGAGCTGGGCACATTTGAAAATTTGCCACTGGTTTGTGTTTTTAATGGTATTTATTTTAACTTCTGTTGATACTTTATCAGAACATGCAACTTATAACATACAGCACTGCATATGACTTATTATTCTTCTACTCTTACTTCCATCTTTGTTTTGCTTTTAGATACATAACTAAGTATATTAAATGCCCACCATCAATTTTTTTGCTGAAATTTCCCATCATCTTGGTTTGGTGAATTTTTCTTCTAGTAGATTCCTTAAGAAGGGCTAATGATTAGGAGCCCTTGTATGTTTAAAACTGTTTCTCTATATCCTTCATACTGAAGCTTAACTGAGCATAAACTCCTAAATTTACATTTCTTTCCTGCAGCTTTTTGAACATGCTACCTCATTTTGGCCTTGTTTTATGTTGTTTTTGAGAATTTCGATGGCAGTTGATGCCCTTGTCCTTGTAAGTTATTTGATTCTTTTTCCTGGGGACTCTGATTGTTACAGTTCCATTTGCATGAGTTCAGTGAGTTCTTTAAATAATGTAGTTTCAGGACTTCTTTTATTTCCAGAAAGTTTTTTTGGATTATAATTTGAAATATTAGTTCTGATCCATTGTTTTATCTTTTATAGGGACTCTAATTATACACAAATTGAGTCTCTTTCACCTGTCTTCTATATCAAACACTTTCTCTCTGATACCTTTTCCCTTTTTTTTCAAATCTCATTTTCATTCTCTTGGTTGTTTTTCTGCTGTCTTCAGTGTCCTTATGTTTTCATGTAAATGTATTCTTTGGGCACCATGTAATTTTGTCTTCATTTCTGATAGGATTCTCGTGTTCAGTCAGCTCTATTTCACGTCTTTCTGCTTTTCCCCACTTCTTTTCTTTGTTTTTGAATTCCTGATTATAAGAGGAAAACTCTATTTTTCTCCTCTACTGTCAGTATTTCTGAGATCAGATGTGCGTGGGGTTTTCCCATACCAAGCAATTCTCCAGTTCCCAGCAGACACCAACTGGGTATCAAATTGAACTCAGTTCTGATAATACCTATCTGGAGATAACATCAGATCCTACAGGTTAAGTGCTCAATTCCATAAGACTGCCCCACTTCAGATGCCAATTGCAAGTTCTGACCTACCAACTATAAATTGGAGGTTCCCATGAGCCCCTCCTCAGATTTGATAATATTTTAAAATAGTTTTTAAGTTTACCAGTTTATTTTATTTTATCACTATTATTTTAAAATATATCTTTACTGATTTCAGAGAGAGGAAAGGAGAGGGAGAGAGAGAGAGAGAAACATCAACGATGAGATAGTCATTGATCGGCTAGCCCACAACCTGGGCATGTGCCCTCACCGGGAATCGAACCCCGATCGCCTGGATCCTAGGTTGACACTCAACCTCTGAGCCATGCCTGGCCAGGCTACCAGTTTATTTTAAAAGATGTTATAAAGGATAAAGATAGACAGATGAAGAGGTACATAGGGAGAGGTCAGTAAAGGTCCCAAGTGCAGGAGCTTCTGTCTCCATGGAACTGGGGTGAACCACCCTCCCAGCACGTGGATGTGTTCACCATCCTTGAAACTCATCAAACCTTACTGTTCAAGAGTTTTTATAGAGCTTAATCTTCAGCCCCTGCCTCGTTCCCCGGAGGTTAGTGGTTGGGGTTGAAAGTTCCAACCCTCTAATCCCTTGGTCTTTCTGGTGACCAGCTGCATCCTGAAGTTATGTAGGGGCTCCATCCTAGATCACTTCATTAGCATATACTCTGGTATACTCCAAGGGGGCTCCTTATGAATAACAAAAAACTCTTCTATCATTCAGAAAATTCCGAGGGTTTTAGGAGCCTGGTACCAGGAACCAGGGACAAAGATGAAATCTATTCTTATATCATATTGATCAAGGTGGTTTTTTAATGTCCCCAAATGCTTGTTTAAAGATATTTAATTCAGTTTAGAATGTTATATTCTAGTTTTCTTCTACTTTGCTGTTTGTTTTCTTGAAGTGAATTTTTGTCAGGTGAATTGTTTGAATTATTGTATCCATTTTATTTTTATAGTATTTTTTTATTTTTTAAAAGATGAAGACTTTGTGTGTCCCTGCTTCTCTCTTCTCTGTTCAGTTCAGTTTTTCCTAAACTGTCCTTTGCTGTCCACAGAGGCTTGCAGCTGGAACATGGGAGATAGCTCATTGGTATTCTGTTTTTCTTTTTACGTGTAATTAGAAGTTTGGATGTGTTGAAGGCCTGAGTTTTGTGTAGTTTTAATTGTTCTTTATGTTGTTCTGTGTTGGTTTTTGTGAGGATACACTAAGAATTTTAGATTTACATTACCTCATTGCCTCAGTTACCCAGAATTCCTCTCTCCTTCTGAGCCAGTTTTGGAGAAGTTATATAACTTTGTTTGTGTAGACTGTACTTCCAATAGAATAAATTACAATGCCTTGAGAGAAATTACATGCCTTAACATTTATTTATTTATTTTTTGGCTGATCTAATAGAAGCAGGGAGACAAATCAGGAAACATAATCACACTGAGGATTCCAGCTCTCAATTAAAATGATATCATAACCAGGTTTTGTTTTTTTTAATAGTCTATATAAAATAGTAAAGAGTGGTTATAGAATTTTTAGCATGGGAGTCAAATATTGGCAGAAAAGAAGAAAAATTACCAGTTGTTCACCATCCACCCTAAATGTTTCCAGGCTGAAACTGTGGAGCTAGATCATTGGCTGGAGGATAGGCCTGAAAATGTGGATTTGAAGGCCATTAACTTACTGATAATTCAGTCTGTAAGAGTGAATAAACCAAAGGGAGATGGGTTTAGAGAAGGAAGAGCAAAAAGACAGTATCTTCAGGAAAGAATTAATGTTGGAAGGAAGAGGGGAACAGCCCATGGAAAACAGGAGGAGCCTCAGAGCATGCATGGTGCCACAGAAACTGGAGGAAGGGATTTTAATGTGCCAGTAATGTCAGATCCTCCAGATAGCAGATCCTCCACGTAGGCCGAACAGGATGAAGAGGGAACTTCGAATCTTCTCTTACAAAGTGTCACTTGTGGGCTCAAAAGGGATTTCCAGATACAGAATCTAGTCCTTGGATTTCAAAGACCTTCTGGTGATCACTGGAGACTTGACCAACTTAGATGGGGCATTGATCATTTGATGATCGCATTTGATGATCATCATTTGATCCTCAACAGTTTTAATCGGGTCTTTCTATTTTTGGAGCTCATCAATCAAAGGACATCTTAAATCCATTTTGCTGTTCTGTTTCTGATTAAAGGAGGAGACCTAGTGACTACTGTATACTTTCTTTTCAGAATTGTCATTATCTTAATCCTACTGATCACTCCCTGTTTTATCTATATACTATAGTATCCCTTAACACCAAGTTGGGTAATGCCTTACTTTTGTAAATGTTTATTTGTCTCAGGAAAATTTGTTAAGACTGGGCTTTTGAATCTGGACTAGACTACTCTAAAATCTTATAGGTACCTAACTATGCTCAGAAATCATCACAATTTGTGGCTCACAGTCTTGTTTTTCTCTCCACTTTTAAGTATTACTCTTTGCTTCTTTCCTGACTCCTGAGCAGGACTGGAGACCTTATTTCTTTCTTTAAAAAAAAAAAAAGTAGGGCTCATGCTCAAATTATCTCAGTTTCTTCTGCAGGCCTGAAAATTTATCTAAATCTATACCTCTGTATCTATATCCATTTCTCCTTTGCTACCCTTGGACATGAATGCTTCATCCCATGCACTCCTGTTTCCTTTACAGAATTACCTCTCTTCTTCCTCATATCATCAGTCTCCAAGTCTCTGTTGACTTTCAGCCTGTAACTTTTTCCTTTATCCTGTATTTTCCTTTAACTACTCTCTTACACATCTCTTTTCCTTCCTAGCTAAGCTTTCAGTGTCCCCCTAAGCTTCCATTCACCAAGGCTATTTTAAGTCCATTATAGTCCCAGGGTGCTCTACTTGGGAAGTCTTAGCTCATATCATCTGAATTATAAAATGGATCCACATCAGTGATTAAGTAGGGCTAATTATGTTGACAAGATTTTTATACTTTTTCTTTTGAAGTGATCTGGCAATGAGCGACTCACTTATGATTGATTATAGTTTCTTGGCAATCATCATGCTTACTTAGGAATTTTTGTGAAATTGAAATATCTAACCTAGACATTGTTTTCAGATGAAATTAAATGTTTAATACAAAATATGTCAACTAATATTGTTAATTTATATATATTTAATTAAGAATTAATTTTGATTTTCAACTCTTAGGCATTTTGTAGCCCCCAGAAACTTAAACCCTAAGTACTTGAGGCTCCAGGTCCATTTATTCCTAAATGCACAACTGGCTTCAGCTCCAACTTCTTTACTGAAACTGCTCTGGCAAAAGCCACCAGTGACCTCAGTAATAGCAAATCCAGCCTTGCTGTTGTATATTTCACACTGTAGATCAAACCTTCCTTCTTGAAATTCCCTGTCCCAGGGATTCCATCTTTTTCTTCTTTGTTATTCTCATTCTCTTCTGACTTTATGCTTTACCATGGAATCTCCTTCTCTTCCCCTTAACCTTGGCAGTCTTTGGCGTAGTACTCTTTGACATATCCATTCTAAATGATAATTCCCAACCTCCTTTTTCTGGCTCTGACCCCTCCTGGGAGCTTTAGGCCTGCATATTCAGCTGTGTGCTGCCATAGGCCCCTGAGTGTCCAAATAGGCATCTCACACTGAGCTCTCTGACTCTTCCCTTTCTTCCCTCTGCTAGACTTGCATATTTATCTACACTGTTTGTCTCAGTTAATTGGAATATTATCCCTGGTCAAGCCTGAAACTTGGAATTCTTATTTCTGAAAAATTGGTAAACATTTTCCCAGTATAAAGTGGAGTAAAAAAC